GAAACGACCGTAAAAGTCAATTACAGGCTAACACTCCTGATCCTGGCATAAACCAGACGTTATAACACCTTCAGGGGGCGTTACATTATAAACGGCATCGGCACGACTGTGTCCATGGCGATAAGCTTAGTGTCGAAATCGCTTTAGATTCAGGACATTTTCGCCTGGAAATCTACAGTAGTAGGGTTTGAATTTCCTTTTTGAGAACCTTTCCTGTCTTTTCCGGAACATTCGCTGTTATGTCACACCCGGCCTCCCCTCTCGGCAGAGGAGTCAGCGAGGTCATGTCGGGTCGTGACCTCTATAAAACCAACATGGCGCCTATCATGTTTATATCGATTCTTCCCCGTGCTGATAACAGCCTGTATGTTTCCTACATCCCTGGTCAGCCCGAGGATTGACTGCGATGACACGAGGAGTGAAGGGGTACAGGAGGCCACGAAACACTGAAGTTATTTTCTAAGTTTAAAGGCACTCTATGTAGTTTTTTGCGCAAAAATTTGAAATATTCTAATTGTACTAAATTTCGGTGTCATTATTTCACATTTTTTAGTTTTGTCCGTTCAAACAGTCCTTGTTCAGTTGCCGGTGCCACCGGTTTGCTCAGCACAACAACAACATACAGGGGTTGGCCCCCTAGGTGGCTAATTGACCCGGCTTGCCAGGCTTGATAGACAGGGGCAGATGTCACAAGATATACCCTCCTTAGAAAAAACTCATATCTTTCACATGTGGTGGAATATAATTATCAACTAAGAGTATTTTGTTGGGCATGAATAAACTGTGGTCATTATCCCTTCAAAAGAGATAAAAATCTGGTAAACGATTAGGTATTTCAGAAACTGGTAAGCTATCAACTGACACCCCACTGGGATGTAGGTCAAACCACTGGGAGTGGACAATACCATATGTGATATGTGCGGTTTGGCCAGCGGTTGAATAGAAGATTATTCACAGTTTTCTAAGCTTCTAAGGAGCAAGGATGTTGTATTTTTTGTTGCGGAGTATAGTTTTGAAATACTAAAGGGCTAAGTCAATGTACTATGTAAAGAAAAGAATGAAAAATATACTTTTTGTATTGTCAAAAAACTACATAGAGTGCCTTTAAAGGCAATTTCCAATGCTATTTCAGGGCAGCAAAACTGGTATAATTCTGAATAAGGCAATCTTTGTGATATTGACACATACTGCTTCACATTGGCACATTTGAGTCAGTATTTTAAAACTACAGAAACAAGCCCCAAGATGACACCTTTATTTTCTGCGTGATACCCTAAAAATTAGCCCAGTGCCCTTCCAGTAACCATTTCCGTCAGAATTTTATCCTGATCAGCCCGAGGATTCACTGCGAAAGGCGGTTATACCGGTTATACAGATACAGATTACGAAGACCTATTATAAAACAAAGCCTGATTACGCCTAACGAAAAAGGGCATGCAGGCCCTCATTGATTGTGATGAGACGATCTGTGGTGACATACAGGATGACACGGCGCAAGTACGGACGCCTGCTACGCGTTATTATAACATGTCCAACTTCTCATGAGGGAGTATTGACCCGGCCAAGGTCGTGCGTACAAACTTTATTACCATTTCGGGTTTGCCGGCACGGCGCGGCCACGGTTTGGTTATTTTGCCGCTTCCTGTCAACTTTGATAGGAAAATATCAGATGATGATGCGTGCAGCAAAGCGAATTGTGTTTTTTATTCACATATCTATTGAACATTGGACAAAAACCACAAGTTGCTTATGTAACACCTTCTACTCAAAAACATAAAACAAGTGTAAAACACATTGACAAAATACATGCATAATTACAAGGTGAGAAAAACCAAAATAAATACAAACAAGACAACTTGGTGATCTACATATATGAATTACTAGAATATACCTGTACAGTAAATGAAGTATTGAACTACATCAAAGGCATTAAAGTTTTGTTCGTGTGGAATTGATGTGGACCCTCGTAGAAATAAGGAACATAGTGAACTGTCATTGAGATTCTGTAGCTCTACTATGTTGGAGAGAGATGATAACAGAGATTGTGTCCGGGAATCCGGAAAAGTTGGCAACAGAACAAACGAATCACAAGCACAAATCACATGGTTTTAGGTGCATCGAATTGGGGAAATTTATAAGTAGACCTTCATAGGAAAATAACAGATCAGATGGTATTTGCCGTGGCGTGCAGTGAGTCGGATTTTGAATCCGGAAAAGTTGGCAACAGAACAAACGAATCACAGGCACTTCCCAAGTGGCCCTTATGGGAAACGATGTGAAAGAATGGAGAGCAAATATCGACTTGCAATATATAACAAATAGTGACGACAATATTTGGAAAAATTATATAAAGCTGTGTTACATTCTTTTCTTTACGTATACGTTAATACGAGACAGTGGGGTGGTTTTAAAGGTTTTAGGTGCATTGAATTTTGAAAATTCATAAGTAAACCTCCATAGGAAAGTATCAGATCAGATGGCATTTGCCGTGGCGTGCAGCAAGTCGGATCCCAAGAGGCTAAAGAGGCTTCCTCTTCTTTGACTGCCGATTGTTAAAGATTATTCTGTTCTCAGTAAGTCCCAAGAAATCCGAGATTAGAAAAAGTTGGCAACAGAACAAACGAATTAAGAGCACTTCTCAAGTGGCCCTTCCGGGAAACGATGTGAAGGAAAGGAGAGCAAATATCGACTTGCAATACATACCAAACAGCGACGGCAATATTCGAAAAAATGATATAAAGCTGCATTACATTCATTTCTTTACGTTCTTTATATTTTTTCTATCATGTGCTAATGTAAACAATAGCCTGGACTGTAACACTCCTGGCTAATCATTGGTTTACAGCAAAGTTGCAAAGTTCTAGCTACATGCAGAAGTCCTGATGGTGAAAAGAAGATGCCTGTGTACTCTTGTTTTGAATGACTGGAGGTTGTTGTCAGTGATCAGGCAATATGTGACAGTGGGGAGGTTTTCAGAGGTTTTAGGCGAGGTTGGGTGGGATAAAATCATGCTTAATTTGGGAACACATAAAAAGGCCTCGAAACTACTCCAAAAGAAGTATCATTGTTTGAAATTATATTTTTTATTTAGAACACTTCACCATTTGTAAGATTTAACGATCATTAAACCGTTTTACAGTCTTGGTAATTAAGATCGACGCCGCACCTAATTACAGATGTCCCAGGAGAAGTGCCCTACATACTAACACTGGGGATCAATGAGACCGACCTGAGGTAGGGTCTGGTCGAGCCAGTTTAAGCTAGCTACCAGGCTTCGGGAGGCGGCTGGAAAGAGTAGAAATTGGCCGAATAGAGAGATAACATGCCAGAGGAGTCGGTCCGCTATAGAGTACAGTTTGCCGCACCCACACCCGTGGGTCGCAAAATGTACTCTCCCTGGCCGGGCTAACTCTCCTTTATTTTGTCCTATTTCTACTAATTATGTGGTTTGCTGAGTATGAGCTGATTTTAAGCTGATTAACCATCCATTCTTAGACCAGTTGCGAGAAGTCGAATGGATACGATCAATTACTTCTACATGACTTGTGAAAAATTGACATAACAGCTCACCTTCAAACATGTCCACCCAGAACCAGACTGTAAAGCTTCAGATCCACAAACTTTGAGCTGCAGAGTCGCTTGATGAATAAGCCTTAACTTGCATCACAGGGGCATATCGTACCAGGTATCTGTACTCAAACCAAAAAGGTCAAAGTCGACAAATTAACTGCAATACCACCCCATTACTTCATTAGTTTCCTAGTCAGAATACAGATGAGTTGTATGAGCTTGTGTACTACTTGTGGATATTTCCGTGTGTAGCTTGAACTGGCTTACTTACTGTCTATTAGCCTGTAACGGGCACTACTGAACGCTGGAAAAAATGGTCAATCAGCTTATAAAATCATCAGACCACATAATTCTATATACCAACACCCGCAGCCCCTAAAGAGGTGGCCTACATATCAGTCTCAAGAATCAATGTTCCCAATGTGCCGGTATCTGGACATCGGGAAGTGATTTATTAGAGAATGTCGATGTTTGACCTCCTTCTTGTGAAAAAAAAAACAAATCTTGTATTTCCGATATGGGAAAAAAGACGGGAAAACGATTCTTTCGAATAATAGGTTTGTTGCATCTGTATGACTTGGAGTTTTACCGGGGCGCCACCTTGCGATAAGACCTGGATCTGCAATGTCAAGTCAGTGGAAAGAAACGTTGCTGCAGCGGCTTGCTGCAATCGCTAGGTGTCGTTCTTACAAAACATGGCCTAAATCATGACTTCAGTCAGATAATAACTGATGTTTGTAAACATAGACTCTGTTTTGACTGATGAATGAAACTCTAGTACGAAGACACTCTGGTGATCCCTGTCTTTAACACCATCAATCATAAGAGAACTTTTTTTGCCAACAACTGTTAAACTTTGGAACAGTCTTCCGAGGGAGATCGCTAAGATCGGGGACAGCCAGAGATAATTCTTTCCTCAGTGCAAAACTCTGACAGTAGTAGTAGTAGTAGTAAGCCTTTATTTAAACTCGAAAGCTTGTTCGGTTACAAATGACCGCTTTTCAACAAGGTCGAGGGTGAGGGCGGGGTCACGGATTACAAATCAAACCAAAATATAATACAAAATCAAAACAAAGTGCAAATCAAAATATAATACAAAAATAAATAGTAAATCATCAGTCCGTTATCAGTCCAAGTTCCTTATCATACTTCTAAATGTTCCCAATGACAGCGTTCTGTGTAGGCAGTCCGGCTGCTAATGCTGAGTGAGAGCTGACATAGATTTTAAAAATTGGTCTTTTTGACTGAATGACCCCCTTCACTTTGCCATTGCGATGCCTCGGAGCTGCCGACATGCTCCAGAAAAGGATCCAACCCATGACGGGGTCATTGAACCGTGACGTCACAGAACGCCTCTCAACTTGAGCTAGCCAGGTGTTGCCACGTCTCACCTGTACAAGCTCACCTGTACACGACTTCTGTCACCTGAACAATTCTCAAACCTGTGGATCTGATATTTGCTCGGAAATACGGCCCAATCGAGATTTGTCAAACGAACTTCTATTAAGCACTATAAAGTCTATAGTAGCCTGGAATTGCAGTCGACATGGAGGGCATCATGACTGTACCTTACATGTTGGTCGCAGTGCTGCTCTTGACTACTTCGGCGGTGGCTAATCGCAAGGCTGTTATTAGCAAGGAGGTGGGCACATGTGTATCTACTATCGGAAAAACATATCAAAAGTATAGACAAATGTCATGTGAACTGTGTCCAGGCTAGGTACTAAGTCAATACAGGCTTTTCATAGACGATATGTTATTACTAGTATATATTTTGAGTACATGGCGATCATGTTGGCGTGTTTATCAGACCTGTACTGTAATCCAACATAGTACGATTGACGGCATCTAAAAATACATTATATGATACTAACTAAGAATGACGATATAAGTAACGGCATGGTAATAATATAGTACATGTATATTCTGACATGACGTCAACATAAGAGGGTTATAGCATTTTGGCTTCGATTTGTTGAAGTCATGGACTAAAATGAAATCTTAAAACAAAGCACAAAAAGTCACACTTAAAAGGAATGTCTGTTTTATAAGTCATAAAACAACATTTAGTACGTTACAGTAAGTGTGTCTTATGGGAGTAAAGGGGGAGGGGGGCTAAAGTATTTAGTGCAAGGACGTCATGTCAACTCACCAGACCGGTACGTAATAACCTGTGATTATCTACGGGTCAGTGCGCTAATAACACCCGCTTGGGGGTACAACACTCACAAACACACACTTCTGCGTATAAAACGCTGCTAAAACGCACAGAAAAATTCAAAATGACTACTGGGTAAACACTGGTTTCCTGAATTCGTTCATTCGTTCGTTTATTCATCATCATCATCATCATCAAAATGGTTTATTGCTAAAATCAAGAACATTGCAGCATAAAGCTGAAGTACGTTCAAAGATGTACATCCTGTTTAAAAAACATTAACGACTGCACAATCTTGGAGTCAAGATGTGGTAATAGTTGATCGTTTATTACCTTCACCAAGAAGGTTATGTTTTCTATAGCGTTTGTACGTGTGCTTGTGTGTGGCTTAGCACGATAACTCAAGAAGCTTTAGGTTCGTTGTCATGAAACTTTGTAGGAGGGTAGGTCTTCAAAAGACATAGAAATAGTTAGAGTTTGGTCCCCCTGGCGGCTTTCCTAGGAACTGCAGCATAACATTCATTCGGCATTCTGTCCGTCACATACAGCCAGAGAGAGGGTCATGGTCACTTTTGTTGTCGTTGTTGTTGCCACATGGGTCCGTACTGGCGCCGGATGGAAAGAAGGCAAGACGCTTTGTGTTTTATGAAATAAAGACTAAGCTTTAACTTCCAACATGAACTACAATGAACTGGGACTTACCCAAAATTGTCTTTGTGTTTTGTTTATTTGTTTGTATAATGACACTACCAACAACTCCATCAGACCTGGACAAACACACGATGTGTTTGTTTGTTTTGTTTATTGACGTTATTTTATTTTCGGGCTGGTCTGGCGCGGCTAGACGCGGAAATGACGGGTTGGTGACGCGGGACGATTGTTTGTTTATTTATTTGTTTGTTTGTTTGTTTACTGACGCTGTTTGCTGACCGGCAGGTTTGGACGCGTCTAGACGCGGACGGAGACGGGTTGGTGACGCGGGAAGAGCTGACGAGTTTCACAGTCGGAGAACGAACCAGGGACATGCGGGTGGACATGGAGAAACAGGTGGGGACGTAGGGAGGGGTTTTCTACCGTCAAGGTTCGGGGATAGATAAACAACATTTTGAAAACTAACAACTTGACAGAACGTGTGTGTTTTGTGTCCGCATTAAAAATAAAATCGTGAACATATATGTACTGTGATAAGTGTGTCTTTGTGTATGTGTGTGTGTTCAACAAATTTCTTTTTGGAAATTCATCAAAATTTCTTTCGTTTGTATTGAAAGTCATTCGCAAGAAATTTCATCGTCACAGTTACAGATATCAGTAGTGAAAAAGAACCTTGACACAAACAACTAAAAAAAAAAGGACAGACCTGCCCAATCCGATCGCGAGAGGTGGCCAGTAACATTATTTTGCCCCTCTATCTTCCCTCCTAGTGGAAGAGCCACGGCCTGTCTGCGGATGAGAAGCTGACGTTTGAGCGGTACGCCAAGAAGGTTTACCCCGACGGTGAGTGGAACATTATCGTAGTCAGTTGCGGGAGGCATGCACTGCGTTATTAGCCTGGAATGACGTCTTGTTAAATTTGGTCCGCTCGTAACGTCGCTACTCCACCAACATGGGAAGTAACGACGTTGGAAGCTGACCAAAGCTAATAAGACGTCATTCCCTAATCTCCAAGCAGATCCCAGGGTGGACAGTAGACAGTATCAAATTGTCCAGGCAGTATCCATTCACCTGAGAGGGTCCATGTGGGTCCCTTGGGTGGACTGCCTGGACAATTTGATAGTGCACTTTGTTACTCTAGAATTTGCTTGGAGATTAATTTTTCCAGACTACTACGTTATATATATATTATATATATATATTATATATAAAGTAAGGTACAAAGAACATTGCCGACCTAGTGCCAACGGCTACTCCTCAGCTATTTTCCACCACCTACAACACAACCAGGGTCACTCTTTCAAACTCGAGTCCACGGATGTCTTAGACCGCAAAACACGCTGGTGGGAACGGGGGGTTAAAGAGGCAATATATGAAAGAATGTACAACCCCACCCTGAACAGGGAAGGGGGGCTACGGGTCGATCTTTCCGGCACTTGGGATTTGGCACTCCCAGCCCCGAGGACAGACAACACTTAAGCTCCTGTTGTGTATAACAGGAGCTTTCAGACTAATTTGCATCATCTTGTCTTGACTTGTCTGACTTTTGTTCCTTTTTCGACTTCCAAAAATTTGTCTTCACTTTATTTGCATATCAATCAACAGGTTGTGTATATAAACCTGCTTTCCCCTCTGGTCTCTCAGTCACTGACGAAAGCTAGTGGATACTAGCTGAAACGTCTGACGTTTTCAAAATCATATCCAGTTGCTTGAGTAACTGTTTTTTGGCATATCGTATTACCTGGATGTCTAACCTTCATCGACGTACTACGTTATATCATGTGCAAATGTTGTGCAATTAAGTCCTCATCAATACTGCCCTCCCCTGAGGCCGGGTTAGCGCACTCACTCTTCTCTCTTCTTGAAACACATACAAACATACCTGCATAATCTATCTACTATGTGTCCATTTCTGCATGTCTGTCCTCCCCAGAGTTCTCCCACGCCCACTCCCCCCGCAGGAAGCAGCAGGAGCAGAGGCGCTTCCACCTCTGTGACGTCAACCAAGATGGCGGCCTGGACAAGGACGAGTTCATGACCTTTCTGTGGGCGGAGGAGTTTCCACGCATGCACGACATCGTCATACTGGTAACCTGATACTTTATCTCACACCGCGCATGCACAACATTGTCGTACTGGTAACCTTGAAGTTTGTATAAACTTATCAGTTTGTAAAAGCTTAAAACGTTTTTTAGGTTCAAACACAAACCCACCTTCAGCTTGATAATAGAGAACAGGCATCTCACAGTCAACTCTTCTTGAGTGTTAATATATGAGAACATGAAAACAATCAAATTGACATCAGGGGTCCAGTTCATCCTGATTTTCTGTCTCCTCTAGGAAACGATGGAAGACATGGACAAGGATGGAGACGGGGTCCTCAGCTACCTGGAGTTTACAGGTGAGTTTAGAATGAATGAATGAATGAATGAATGAATGAATGAATGAATGAATGAATGAATGAATGAATGAATGAATGAATGAATGAATGAATGAATGAATGAATGAATGAATGAATGAATGAATGAATGAATGAATGAATGAATGAATGAATGAATGAATGAATCAATGAATGAATGAATGGTTGAATGAATGAATGAATGAATGAATGAATGAATGAATGAATATTCCTGTTTTCCCCAGATGACGAGGAGGGAATGGAGGACGGCCCGGAGGCTAAGAAGACGTTTCATGGGTCGTTTAGGTGCCTAAAAATGTTCACCAGATTATGTATGATGTACAAAATGACCAATAAACTGGTGGACATACCAACTACTAGCCAAGCTAGACAGACTGATTAACAATTTGAAACCATTCGTTCTCGTTTTCCCCCAGATGATGAGGAGGGAATGGAGGACGGTCCGGAGGCTAAGAAAACGTTCCATGAGTATGATGCTGACGCTGACGGGGAGCTGAGCCGGGCCGAGGTGAAGCTCTGGGTTCTCGGAGCCACGTTTGACGCCGGGAAGGATGACGAGGACAGCGTCAACATCGTGTTAACCAAGCTCGACACAGACAGGGTAAGGGATGCTGCTTTACACGTTTGGTGTTTATTTTTGACTCCATTTAATAAACTTGCAACAGTACAGTACTCGTATACAACATACAATGTACGTGGGACATGGGCAGCTGTTGCTGGTCGTGTGTCTCATACATAGAATATTACAAGAAATGTAAACTATAATTAGATTTGATACCCACAAGTTCTCTTTACTTAGTGTCTTGCTCTGATAACTGCTCCTTTTTTTAACCTCAGCATAAAGGGGTCAGGATTACACAAAATAGGGTCCGCGACTGGCGGCAGGATCGGGTCTACTGTTAGGGTTTTATGTATCCAAAGCCAATTATTCTTCCAATTTTTCTAAATTTTACTACTTTCAAACCAGCGTTTTGTGAGTAGTCTGATTGAGACTAGTTATTGTTCCACGGCGTAAGTTTTTGTCTTTAAACTTTTACAAGCACAAGTTCAAACCTCCCGCCCCAACTAAATACCAGAATGTATACCAGTCTGCATAACTAATTCTACCAAAGGAGATGAAATCTAAAGCTTCATGACTTTAAAACCGACTATAGGCGAATTTTTTTCACGGAACAAACTTTTGTCTTCTTTCAGGACGGGAAGCTGAGCTGGTCTGAGATCGAGGCTGACCCGGAAGTGATTGAGGAACAGCTGATGTATGAAGAAGACAACGAGACGCTCCATGACGAGTTTTGAGAGGAATTTGATTAAACTTCATAATATATTACAAAAATGTCAACAGAATATCAATTACTTTATCATTGAACATTAACTTCTTTCTAATGTTTTTGAAGCACCATTTTTAGAAACATTTTCAGATTCGTTAAAATAATGAATCAAGAAATCTTCGTTGTTCTCGTATCAGCTGTTTTATGTGTAAGACAGTTTACTGTCATTATGTTCATTAGTTATATATTGATGTGTACCGTGACAATTTTCCAATAGAGCTACATGCTACGACTGTTTGAGATATTCATGATAAACGCCAACTAAGGATGCCAAGTTTTTTTATTGTTAAATTGAATTAAATAAATAAATTTCTTGGTTGTGTAACGAGAATCTCTTTATTCAATAATTGGCCCTTCTTTCTTTCTCCCTAAAGCGAGTGAGTGAGTGAGTGAGTGAGTGAGTGAGTGAGTGAGTGAGTGAGAGAGTGATTGGGTGAGTGAGTGAGTGAGAGAGTGGGTGAGTGAGTGAGTGAGTGAGTGAGAGAGTGATTGGGTGAGTGAGTGAGTGAGTGAGTGAGAGAGTGATTGGGTGAGTGAGTGAGTGAGTGAGTGAGTGAGTGAGTGAGTGAGTGTGTGAGTGAGTGAGAGAGTGATTGGGTGAGTGAGTGAGTGAGATAGAGAGAGTGAGTGAGTGAGAGAGAGAGAGAGAGAGTGAGTGAGAGAGAGAGAGTGAGTGAGTGAGTGAGTGAGTGAGTTAGTGATACACTGTCATCATCACCTTTCTTTAGTGTCATATCCCGACTGAGAGGGTAAAATGTGCATATTTTCTTTTCTACTTTTTTCTGATTGGAGACTATGACGCTTTCAGACTATGAAAAGGCCCGTTTTCGTACAGTTAGATACAGAAAATTGTATGCTAAAACAGCACTTACTTACTTGTGGCCTGCGTCAAAGTATGCGTCAAAGTATACGCTAAAAGTATGTTATTTCAAGTACATCAATTGTAGTGGCGGAAATGCAGGAATGAACTTTTTAAAAACTTTTTTATTCTTTCTTTCAAAGTTACACACTCAACTTCACATAAAACATCGTGTGTCCATACCATGAAAAAAGCCTGCCCCCTCCAGACCAAATGGACGGTTCCAGTTCCAGAAAGCGAACAAGCAAGATGGCGGACAGCAGGCGACAATTTCTGCAGACGACACTTTTCTTGTAGTTTTTAGGAAATATGGGATCTTCCCAAAGATTGTGAATAGCTCAAATTGGACAGTTACTATAAGCTGCAGGTTTTATGACTGAATTTTCGGTTTAAAATTCGGATATTTTATCAAGTACATGCTCCTCACTCCTCACTGAGCCGAGTTCGGATTTCCCGCCACAAGTTCGCAGCTGCAGACGACCAAGTTGACTGAGTTTCTCACCGCGCCAAATCTGGTAAGCAAAAAACTATTCGGTTTATTTATCAGACCATGTTGCTGTGCTTGGGTTAATCATTCCATACTAGAAATTTAACGTAGTCTACATACACTATACATGTAACATTCCTTTTCTTTTTTTGTGTTTCAGTAATTTTGTGTGGAAGGAGGGAGGGGGGCGACAGAGGAAACGTTTGCAAGTGACGTTTTTCCCGAGATTTAGTTTAGCAAAAAAATCAGTCCTAGTTTGTTTTGGAACTGATTATGTCTTGGAACTCAAACTGAAATCAAAAGAAGGCGGTTTTACAAATTACAATGTAATTAGGTACAAAATTATCAAAACGTCAACAACGTATTCCCATCTTGTCTTCTTTAATGTGTGTACATCTTGTGTTTGTTCAAGTGTGTGTGTGTGTGTGTGTGTGTGTGTGTGTGCAAGTGCAAAGTGTGTGTATGAGTGTGTTTGTGCATCATCTATGTGTGTATGTGTGTGTATACATGCTAGTATGTGTGTGTGCATGTGTGTGTTTGTGTGTGTCATCTATCATTTTCTATGTAAACTTGTTTGTGAGTGGGGTACATCTTCAATGTGAATCACATTTGCACTATAAAATGTTTTTCAAGTTACTTTATTTCATGTTTTGATGTAACAGTCGATTAACACATCTCTTCCTCTTATTGTCTCTAATCTTCTTTCCATACCCATCTGCCCTGTACAGTCCCAGCATGCTCCCTGGAGAGACCCACAATCCCCTGCAGGAGGCAGCTGAGGCCGATGCCCCGCCTTGCCGATGCCAGAAGACAAGACGTAGAAGTTCCCGTCTCATCTTTAAGGAGCGATCCCTGAGCAACTCTCGAGCCATTCAAGACGGACCCTTGGGGTTCTTCCAGATCCTTCCAGTGGAGATGGTCTACAACATACTGTATGAGCTGGCAAGTAAGTTACAACTGTCTTATCTTGAAAGTTCATCTGTGTTGGTAGAAGTCATTATGAAGCAAGTCTAAACTGTAATTTCCAACTCAACAAAATGGACTCACCCAAATTTTCAACTGTACAACTCCAGTCGCGTGTGCTATCTGCGTGACGTCACGGAAGCGGTGGATTGCTTATTCGTTGACTTTTAGACTGGAGTTGTACAGTCAAAACTTTGGGTGAGTCCGTTTTCAGATGTGTTGGAAATTACAGTTCAAACTTGCTTCATAAGTTTCAACTGCCTTCTTGTATGTACTTTCTGTACTATGTACAGTATAAATTATAATTGTGGATGGTTTGATGGTTAGTTTTTTAGTTGATATTTGATTTAAAGATTTGAGATCCAGGACTTAGACGTAGAAAATGTGCAGAATCAGATGGTGAACATGGAAATAAAGTGTGCACTATTACTAGTATTGTTCACACAGATCACTAGTGTGGCCTTTTTAGCACTTGAGCTTTCACATGCACTTTATTCTCATTTTATGTCACATTAATGTGTGTTATTTATGCATTAATGACAAAAAATGCACCTTATTCTTGTTCTATAATACATAAATGTGAACAAAGCACTTTGTTAACATTCTTGCTATTTTATTATAATACATTGGTGGAAAAATCATCATTAATCTGCAATACATTTATCAACTTTTTCTTTCTTTTTATTTTCACCCTTTCCAGTAGTGGACCTGTCCGTCCTCACCATTGTGTCCAAGGCAGTGCGAGGGTTGGTGGAATGTTTCATGGACAGCAAACGGGGGGAGGACAGACTGCTGCTGAGGGTATCTCTCCACAAGCCGGCATCACAGGACCATGCAGGACTCATGCAGCACTTCCGCAGGCTAGGTCAGCTCTGTTTTTTCCTCTTCTTCTTTATTACCTCCAAGAAAAATGAAGGTATTGTTTTTGGCATCTGTCTGTGTGTCTGTTTGTTTGTTTGTGTTTCCGCACATTTGTAGTCAGCATAACTTTGGAACACCTTAATGGATTGTGATATTCATTATATTCGGTGTGTAGATAGGTTGTAGGAAGACAAAGGTCAAGATCAAATATGGGCCTGCAGGTGGCTGACCTAGGTGCTGCAACAGAGCTTCCTTTTTTTCCTCAAAATAGCAGAAACACTTTTTTTACAAAGTTTTTAAAACAAGGAGTACTGTTTGACCAATAAACCATTTGTTATTATTTTGTCAGGTGTCCTACAGAAGAGAGCCACCTGCCTCTACACCACACGAGACAGGCTCAGAATCATCGAGCAGTTCATACAAAAGGTTTTTAGCTTTCCAGTTAATATTTCCTATAACTACGGACTATCAAAATGGTTTCTGTATCAGAATAGGTTGTTTTTATTCTACGATAAAAGCTTAGGCAGTTCCCTTTATGCAATGTAAAACAATCTATAACATACTCTATGACTTAAAACATAATTCTGAGAATTTAACGTCGCAAGTAATTGGAGGTTAAAATTTTGCATAATTTGTAATCACTACCACACTCCTCATGCAGGCCATCTTTAAAGTTTTTGAAATGTATATAACTAATTCAGATGTAGACTTTCATGTTCATATGATTGTATAATTTGAGCAGTACATAGTCCATCTATCTGTATCTGTATAGCCGGTATAACCGCCTTTCGGCGTAACACACCAGCTTCGCAGGCGCGCGGCGCGGCGGCAGCTAGCTATATTACACTGATCGACTTCTTACACCTAACCCTCCAACTCTAGACTTTGTTTCAAGCTATCTATTGACAATGCCCCTACTGTACTTGGTGACAGTGAGTTCTACTCTGCAATACTTCTTGGAAAGAATGTATTCTTGAACACCTCAATCCTTGGTTGATCATAAACTCTGGTACTGTCTATGATGACAATGAGTCTCTATCCTACTGCCGCCCCAGATGGACCTAATGTCGTGCTTCGGCTGCTCCAACCAGTGCCTGGCTCTGACCTGCTATGGGCGGTTTCTGCACACGGTCATCGCTGGCTGGGACGAGATGGAATGTCTGCGGGTGTACGTCCTGGTAAACACCCACGTACAGAGGAGACTCAACCAGGTCCTACACTCCACACATGGTAAGCGTAAAACTCTTGTGAACACTCTGTTGTGATGATGACACTAGTAAGCTGTCCACCACGTCGGCAAGAAACCCCATTTTTACAGTTTTCTTTTCTTTTTGGTCACGTGTCGCATCAGAATTTTGCCTGTTGCGGACAACATCTTTTCCGACATGACATTTGAAAACTACAGACGGAGTGTTAACCTTATATGCTCGAATATGACCTTATATGAGACGTTCTGCCAAAGTGCTACTAGTATGCACATTTATACATTACAGGTTACACGCATGTACAGTACGTTCTGCTGACATACTTCCTACAATGGCTATTCCCTTCTATTCTATATGTGCAGGTTGCCATGGTGATGAGAGTTCTGCTGGACCAGTGTGAACACTCCTTACTGTTCTACCTGTGCAGGTTGCCATGGTGATGAGAGTTTGTTCTACATGAGCAGGTTGCCATGGTGATGAGAGTTTGTTCTACCTGTGCAGGTTGCCATGGTGATGAGAGTTTTTTCTACATTGTGCAGGTTGCCATGGTGATGAGAGTTTGTTCTACATGTGCAGGTTGCCATGGTGATGAGAGTTTGTTCTACCTGTGCAGGTTGCCATGGTGATGAGAGTTTGTTCTACATTGTGCAGGTTGCCATGGTGATGAGAGTTTGTTCTACCTGTGCAAGATGCCATGGTGATGAGAGTCTGTTCTACCTGTGCAGGTTACCATGGTGATGAGAGTTTGTTCTACCTGTGCAGGTTGCCATGGTGATGATGAGCTGTACCTGCGGCTGTTCTACAGAAGAGTTCTGCTGGACCAGTGTGAACACCAGCTGGTTACCATGGTGATGAGAGTTTGTTCTACCTGTGCAGGTTGCCATGGTGATGATGAGCTGTATCTGAGGCTGTTCTACAGAAGAGTTCTGCTGGACCAGTGCGAACATCAGCTGGAGCGAGCCTTCTGGCTCAGCAGGATGCTCAAGCCCCTTCCCATGGTGCACCAGGCACGGCTGCTGTTCATCATGTATGGACCTGTCTGTTTTTATGAGGGTGAGACAAATTTTAAGTACTGTGATATTTATCTTCAAGGTTCAGAAGATCTTTATAAGAACTGTAATCTAAGACAGAAGAAGAAATCCAAGTGTTGACGTGAACTTGACGTGGTGGAGATTAAAAAAAATAAAAGTTGAACATCAATTGGATCCGTCGAAGTTGCACAGTGATATTGGCCTAAAATGTTTGCAGTCTCATCGAAAAATTTGTTTTTGTGCTGTGTAAGGCCAGCTTAAGGCCTGGCTCTTTTGTGGGAAAAACCTAAAGTTCTTTTTAAAAACCCTTTCCTCTGGTTAACAGACAGTGCTGTGTGGATGGAGATGGGAGATGCGGAGAGTAACACCCCCGCCTCCACAGTGGTACTGGCCGAGCTGGGCTCCGCCATCAAGACGCTCCACAACTACGGACGGGAGTGGACCGAGGATGACATCATCGGGGTCATCGAGGAGGTCACAGGTAGGTCACGGCGGTCAAAGTTCACAGGTCAAGTCTTGTAAGATTCGGAGTAGATCCAAGGATGACAAAATTCCTTGATACCTTGATACCTTGATACCGTCTTCGGGATGAGAGGTAATCCTGTGGTGATCCCGATCTCGACTTCACTCAGTGTTATACTTTATGCTCTCCCAGTATTTGTCTAGGTTTGTCTTGAACTCATTTACTGACTCTGAGTCAATTACGGCCTGTGGTAGACTGTTCCAATCCCTAACGACCCGGACGCTAAATGACTGTTGGGCCATCAATGTGAATGGTTGGTCAGGGGTCATTTTTTTTTCTCTCTCTCTCTCTATCCGGTTTATTGTCTTTTTTTCCCCGTAACAAGGGATAGACGCTCTTGCATACTGATGCTGGGGATTGATGTCGGCTTGCCATTTGCCTCTGTCTGTTCTGTGGTCCTTGTGCACAGCCTCTGTGGGTTAGAGTCTCAACAACTTCACCAGCCAGTCACGCAGTGTCCCAACATACAATCCATGAAGACTGTTTGTTTATATATGTTTCCTTTATACACTGTAGCATGCTTAGTGCACAACAAAGTAATGAAAATAACTGTGTTTTGATATATGGTAGGCTTTAAGATGCACAAAAAAGTATTCAGTTTAGAAGCCATGGTGCAGTTTTAACAAGGATCACAAGGTGGCATTGTTGCCTTGTGTAGTTGTGTAGTGGTCAGACATGCCATCACTGTCCAAGATTTATTTTCCCATCAAGTGACAAGATCCCCAGAAAGCAAAATAGTAGTATTGAAATTTCAGTCTTGAAGAGCTTGTATTTTGTGCCTTGTGTTGACAAGCAGAATTCAGCAATGAGTTCAAATGAGATACACATGATAGAACATGGAACGGGTATAGCACTTTTGCGTCGATGAAGGTTAGACATCCAGGTAATACGATATGCCAAAAAACAGTTACTCAAGCAACTGGATATGATTTTGAAAACGTCAGACGTTTCAGCTAGTATCCACTAGCTTTCGTCAGTGACTGAGAGACCAGAGGGGAAAGCAGGTTTATATACACAACCTGTTGATTGATATGCAAATAAAGTGAAGACAAATTTTTGGAAGGACAGACAACACTTAAGCTCCTGTCCTGTATAACAGGAGCTTTCAGACTAATTTGCATCATCTTGTCTTGACTTGTCTGACTTTTGTTCCTTTTTCGACTTCCAAAAATTTGTCTTCACTTTATTTGCATATCAATCAACAGGTTGTGTATATAAACCTGCTTTCCCCTCTGGTCTCTCAGTCACTGACGAAAGCTAGTGGATACTAGCTGAAACGTCTGACGTTTTCAAAATCATATCCAGTTGCTTGAGTAACTGTTTTTTGGCAGATACACATGTAGTCCAACATTACACATTTATTGGGTTTGTAACAACAGACAAAGAGTGATCAAATACATGATCCCTTCCCTGTTGCCATGGCACTGCATTTTGCAGACTGAGAAACTTTTAATATTGCAGAAGAAGATTTAAGAAATGAGGCTAAGATGTTCAATTGTGTTGGTATAGTATTGTCTAAGTATGAGCTTTGTGTTTACTTACTGACTTTATGATATACTGATGATTATGTAATACTATGTATTCTTTCAAATTGCATGTAAAATGTTTGCCAACATGTGATTTGCAGAAAGTATTTCCAAATTGCAGAACAAAGTTTTGACAATATTTTTCAACATCGCATAACACTGGAAAAAAAAAGTATTTTTACGACTGCACAGCGATCCCAGAGAGTTGGACAGGGGAGAACCTGGCACGTTAACATCCCATCTGTAGTTTCCAAATGTTATGTGTCAAAAATATTATTTGCTACAACCATAATTTTGATGCAACGTTGACCAAAAACCCAACAAAAATCATTATAAAATCAGGGTTTCACGCAGGTACAGTACATTGTGCCAACATGCTGCCCTTACATGACCCTGTCCCTGTTGCCACAGCCATCCCGGAGAGTTGGACGGGGGAGAACCTGGCCCGTCTGCTGACACTGTGTGGGGAGAGCGTCTGTGTCCAACTGCTGGGCAGTAAGGCCATCAACGGGAGACTCGACGAGCTAGCTGAGATCATCGTGCACCTGGCAAAGGTACACAACTCCCTCCTGCTATCTAATCCCCAACCGTCACGCCCCCCACCCAACTCAGGAGGGTCATCTTCATCCCTAACTAAT